TTTTGAGAAAACTGTTTCAATTAATTGCACAATATTGTAGAAATCTAGCACATTTATCAATAGTTTATCAGGATGAAGTAAATTATAATTTAATGGAAATATTCAATAATTGTATTAAATTAGAAAGAATTGAGTTTAACCGATTTGATCCTATTAGTCTGAATGGTGATGAAATTTTAGAAGCTTTAAATCAAACATTACCAAAAAATTAAAATCAATAATTATTCATGATGGTGTTTCTAACCTTAGTGATAGTTCTTTTGATAAACTAATGAGGAGATGGGAAGGGCCCAAACCTTTTACAATAGTACTTGGAAGATTTGGTGGTTATGAAAAATTGATAAAAAAATATCAAGATTTAGGATTTTTAAATTAATTTATATTATTATGTTATTATTGAATTTAATTAGTTGGAAATAAATTTTCATTTTATTGTTTTATTGTGCAACAAATTTTTTTTTCTTTATATATATAAAAAATATTAATGATAACTTTACCACTTGAGCTTAAGTAAAATATTTAAATACAATAAAGATGATTATAAAACATTATATTCTTGCATTCTTGTCAATAAGCAATGACATAATATCAACATTCCAATTTTATGGAGAAATCCATGTTATTATAATCAAAGTGGGATTTGAAAAGAATAATCAATAATTGCTTTACATTTGTGTACATTTAAGTGAATCGTTGTATTATATAGTCATACCTCCATATAAGGACCCTCCATATAAGAACACCTCTTGCTAAGAACATATTTTGCTCTAACAGATTGATTTTGGTCCAATTTGATAATGGTTTTCCCTCTATACAAAAACCCTCTGTATAAGAACTAGAACATTTTTTCAGTAATATTTCTACCTCTATATAAGAACATTGTTGTGTAACATTATTGTATGAATTAAAAGAAATTAGAATGTCTACTAAAAATGAGCCACCATTAGTGATGAACTTAGAAAAGAAATATGTATTTATGCTCAAAACATATTAATTCTAAGCAACAAAGTATTGCTGACTTTTAATAACAAGTAACCAGGTCATCAGGAAATTAAAATGGACACAAAATTACACGAATTTTACACTTGTAAAATCCACACAATATTACGGGGCCTGCCATAAGTTTACATAATGTAAAAAATATGAAAAATTAAAAATATTTCACGCACAAATTTAATATAATAAAAATTTAAAAATTTTTATTTCAATTTTTTTTGAAAAAATACAAATGTTTTTATATATAATAGATATTAGATATTACAAATGAAATATAAAAATATAATAAATTTGATAGTTGCATAACAATAGACTGTCATTCAATCATAATAGTAAACCTCATTTTTGAAAAAAGTATTAATACAATGTTATATATACAATAAGAATTACATCAGGAAACTTCTCCTGCTGTAATATTACATCCATAAGTTTTAATATGAAATGTTGTAATATTACGCATAAAAAGGACATAATATTTACACTAAATGTAATAATTGCATAATTTTTGTGTAATTTTTGCATAATATTACAAGGCCCACTGTAAACTTATGTAAATAGTGTAATAATTATGTAAATTCACGTCAGAAAAAATTTCCTGATGGTCTTGGCATTGGTTGCTCGACAATTGCTAAAATATAAAAGAAAGTAGTAAATGGCTAAATATTGATACTAATTCTATTTCTAGAAGTAAATTTCAAAATAAAAATCCTAAATTTCCATTGCTTGATCAAGCTTTAAATTGTTGGGTAGAACAGGTATCAGCATCAGCTGTTGTATTGAATGAACAGCTTATTAAAGAGAAAGGTCAGAGATTTGCAAATCTTTTAGGAATAGATGAAGATGATTTCCATTTTTCAAATGGATGGATCCAAAAGTTTAACAAAAGAAATCAATTGGTTTCTTATAAATTTCATGGTTAAGGAACAAGTGCTCCCATTGAATCACTTCCAGAAGAATAAAGGAAACCACAAGAGGTAATTTCAAGATTTGATCCTGTAAATGTATTTAATGCAGATGAGACTGGACTTTTTTTCAAATGGCACCAAACCAGACACTAGCAGAATGTAGGATGGCAGGGAAAAAATTGGTATGTATTAAAGTTTTATTAATGAATACATATACATACATATTGTCTAAAAAAAAATTTTTAAGGACAAGTCTAAGAACACATGCTGTAATTGGTTATTTGCAGCAATGGTAACTACCATTATAAAATATTTACAGCTGTTCCAAATAGCTATGGCTGCTGCAAATAGTTTTCAATTACTGTCATTAGTATCATTAGTCACATTAGTCATGCAAAAATTTTCTTGATTTATTTGTGATCTGAATTTTAATTGATGAATTCAATTGGTCATTCATTTACAGTGAAATTATGTGAAAAAATAAAATTTGCAGCAGCTGTAGCTATTTATGGCAATGGTAGCTACCAGTCCAATCATTTATGGCAAGTGTCTTTACTTCTGATAGTACTATAATTCTTTGGTTCCATAGTAGATCTGATGTAAATGAGTTTCATATTTATATTTTATATAGGGGTAGTTCTATATATCACTTAAGATAACAAATGGGATATCATAAAACTGTTAATTATGATCACATTACAAATGACTAAATTTTGACCCCTGAAATCTTTTGTAACACCAATGTTCACTTTGTCTGGTTTTGTTGCAGTATGCCCCATATAATAAATTCGTTTTAACAAAAACTTTATTTAATAAAAAAAATAGGGATAAAATTTTGTTTGGTATAACAAAAATCCATTATTACAAGGCTTGACTGTAATTAGATCTTTTTCAAAAACAAACAAAAATGAAACTGAAAATAAATATTTTTCAAAAAATTTATTTAAATTTTATCATATGATGAGGATGTGGAGGATGCTTTTGCAAATTGTTCTATAAGATATTTCCTCTGTTTTTTAATGGTAAAAGGATCAACATTTCACTGATTCATAGACTGATTATCAATTAATATTTGCATGCCTTCATCTCATATAGCATACATTACTATGGTTGAACAAAAAGATTTCTGACATGACAAAGGCTCATCATTCAACCCACCCCACACTACATGAAACCTCAGATACTCCCAAGATAAGCTGGGTGAAAAAGGACATATTTTCAATTTTTGATGATATTTACTAGTTGATTTAGTACAGAGGAGGATATCAAAAATATTCTAGTATGAAGGGTTGCAGTGAATGACATTTTGTTTTATGAAAAACTAGAAATGGCATATAAAAAATTGTTTTGATTTCACGTTCCTATATTAAATTGTTAAGTTCTTTTGTTGAATAAAAAAAGTATTTGGCTTACATCAGCGAAAATCTTGAACCTTGAAATTTTTGGTAAGTTCACTTTGTCTAGTTTTGTTGCAGTATGCTCCATATAATAATATTGCTAAGCTTTAATTTTTGTTATTTTTAAAAAACCAGTTATTTTATTAAAAAAATTTAATATCTGGACTAGGTACCTGACCTGACCCATTTGGAACTCTAGTCTCTTGGCAGGTAATTATTTGATTCACAAATTTTTTTCAGTATGAATACCTTCTGAATGCGAGCCACCTTTTTTTCTTGACATACCTCCAATAGCCATAGTTCATTAGTAAAGATGGCCCTCAATTAATTGCAGCATATAAAAATTGAATTGTGGCTAATTGCAGTCCCATCTTTATTCATTAGAATTTGTCCATCTAGGTGAAACTTTGAAGAGAAACCCTGCCATATCCCTGTGTATTTCTCACTTGACTTGAAAGTTATCACAACTTGCCCACTAGTATCATTAAGCCTGCAGCATCACCTGCTTGAATGTTATCAAAGCCAGGAAGGCTCCAGGATGTAACTACATTAGCACACCCTCTTATATAGACTGTTCTTGCACCAGTAAGTGATGACTAGTTTTTCCAAGGATAAAGGGTCAAAACTCTGCCAATTACTGAAATCTCCAAATGCCCAACTCTGCCAAAACTTTAATAAACAATTAAGGTGTAACCTGCTGAAACTCTGCAAGTTGATTTCTGGAAGAGTTTTGGCAAGCAACCATAATTCCAAATTTATGTGAAATTGAAATCAGCCAATCAAATATGGGGTGTTGAAAATTTTCTTTTAATTGGCTAATTCATACAGTACACACTCTCTATAATGATCCTTTCTATAACGACCCTTGCTCTATAATTTAAGTCTGATTTTTTATTATTTAAAAATCTCTGTCCATAACGAATTTGTTAATTAAATTTTCTATAATGTATAACGAACTGTCTCAAAAAGTCACCTTATATGTCCTATATCCGACTGATGATCATATATCACATGACATTTATTAGATTTTTTGATATTTAATAATAAATTTGTTATATTTTAAATATTGATGTTTTAATAAATTTTATGTTTTAATATTAATAATTCTCTATCTGCATCTGCAGTTGATTATACTGAAAAGGATTACGAAATAGATATAGATGAACAAGAAATAATTTTAATGATTACTCCAAGATGAGCAAAATCGAGAAGAAGTCATTGAAGAATGTTCACCTGTTTCAAATAAAGAAGTTTTAATTAGCAATAGAAACACATGCATCGACCAACAATCTGAAAAGTTGCATCTAAGCAAGAATGAATTAAACCATTAAAAAGTCTTAAAAAGAAAAATCAAAAAATAGAATTTGATTCAAATCAACAGTCAATATTAGATACCTTTTTAACTAATTTGTTATTTTTGTAAAGCGGCTATTTTATTTTATTGTAATTTTGCAAAACGGTTATATTTTATATTATATTTTTTTTTTTAAATATTAATATAGTTTATCCACATGATCATTACAAATTACTTTTTTATCCCAGCCCAAAAGTTCGTTATAGGGAATGATATCTAAAAATGATCTGCAAAACCCTTGTTGCACTATTACTATATTTTGTAATACATACGCGTACGCATGAATGAATAGAATGAATAAATCTTTTTTTAATATTAACTTATCATTTCAAGAATATTATTACTAAAATGACAATCCAGACAAAAAGAAAAAGAAAATATGTTACATTTGCTCCTGAGCACTTGTTAATAGAAATTAAATATATAGAAAATCATAAAGATTATTATCAAATAGAAGAATGTGAAGAATGTGAAGAAATAGAATCTGAAATGGAAGAGGAGATAGAAGAAGGGGAAATAGTAGATGAAATTGCAAATATGTATGGAAATGGAAAAACTTCAAAACAATCTCATCGTTATCATCCACCTCTGGTAATAGGACCACCGAAAATAGTATGGTACATTCCACCTCTATTAATAATTAATAATGGTGACGCTGCTGTCACTACCACCAAAGTATTGATAAGAAAATCAAAAGCAATTAAAAGTCAAGAAGCAGAACTTCAATATGAGCGTGAAAAACGATTATTGGAAACAATTTATCTTGAGTATAATCAAATACCAGAATCACCACAAGAACCATTATCATCAGCATTAGCATCACCACCATTGGAAAAACCAAAAAAAATTCTATTATTTAATGAGGAATATATTTTAAATATCATAAAACGATTGAAATAAACAATGGTGAATAAAGAAGAAATATTTTTGGAGTTTATATTATATATGAATAGACTTGTAAATAGGTTTCTTCAAACAAAAAATTTAATAATAACAATTAACTTTTTTAAATAATATAGCATTGATCGTTATTTTTTTTTCATTTTTTATTCTTCATAATAAATGATAGCAATCTTTTTTTTTCAATTATAACCCAATCAACGAATTTTGAAAAATACTTTTACTATATTCATCAAAATTTTGGGGACATTTTCAAAAGTTTTCAGGATCCAACCAAACAACAACTTTACTATCACAGTCAAAGTTTTTTATATATGGGGGGGGGGCAAAGCCCAACAGGGTGAACATTGTACTACAAAGAATTCAGGGTTTAACATCACCAAATAATATTGCGATCATGATATTAACGAGTGCTCTTTGATTGTCCCTATATATCAATTATTGATATCCATAACCAATTAAACATGTGTTCACCGCATTCAAGGCAATATTTTGTTTTTACTTGATTTGCATCAAAAACAACGTAAATAGACACTAGATCAATCATTTGATAATCCATCTTGTTATAAAATCATCGATTCATTCATTCTAAGACAAAAAATCAAACCAAATCCTTTAATAATCATTGATAAAGACAATTTTGTTTTATTTAAAAATAAATATTTACAATGTTCCATCAATAACATTTTCATGTTTACTTTTTTTTGCATGTTACCGATTGAGCTCTTCTTTGGTTCTTATTTCACCTAAGACTTATAAAAAAAACAGATTTCATGGCATAAATCAAAAATAATTAATCTGATAGAGCCTGGAAAAACATAGTCAAAGTAAATCAACTGGTGATCAAAAATACCTAAGGGAAATTCAAGGTTTCAAACAATTGTTTGATGAAATCCAAATTTTTCATTTGGTGTGATTATGTGGTGGAGAAGGAAAGGGAATTGCAAAAAACTTTTATCGACAAAAATGAATCTTAGAAGGAACAATCCAGGAATTCACTGTATAGTAGGTTCATTATATCGAGCACCGACTGTAATTGCTAATTTTGAACCCTGTAATCCCGTGTGACACAATATTCACTGCCCTGTTTTTGTTGTAGTATGCCCCATGTTATTATGTTTACTAGAAAAAAACCGCGCAAATCAAAATATCAAAAGACTAGAGTCATCAAGAAATATTGTTTGCTCATTGACGCAGACTTTTAATATTATTATTTCTAAATAAAATGAATGGCACATGTTATTATTATTGTTCTTTATTATTAAAACTGTGAAAAGGTTTTCTTGACATTCTTTCACACAACAAACAAACAATTGATTCGTATTCAACAAAAGATTTTTTTTTCGATAATTGTGCGTTAAAAGGTCTTGAAAGGATTCAACATATTATTACTATTACTATTGTCAAAGCTTACTACGGACATTAAATTTGATTTAAAACTAAAACTGCAGGGGACGGGATCTGCAAATGAGCATGAAACAAAATAAGCCCCAAATTAAATAATACAATACACATTTTTTATTATTGTTAATATTAATAGCTGAAAACAATAATAATCATTGTCGTCATTTGATTCTATTTTATGAAAACAAGGATTGTTTTTTTTCTTATAAATGCACCTTCATTTTTTCAAGTATTTTTTTCTCAACAAAAAATCAAATAATTAATAACAATTAAATAATTTAATAATAACAAATCAAATCTTCAACTTTTTACAAAAAAAAAAACAAACCATCTACAAAAATGAATCCAACTGCAGTTATCACCACCATTAACAACACTTCAAACAATGCAACCGCAAAACCTGAAAATGCCACAAATTATTGCACTATTATGTAAATAGCCAACAAAATAATTGGAATCAAAGAAAAGCAATACATGAATTGAAAAAACAAATTCAATTTATAATAATAAACAGGAAAATTTTTTCGAAAATGGATAATCAAAAAACAAACTTTTTAATAAATCAAAACGAACAATCAAAAATTTTTAATTTAATAATTTAATCTAATATTTAATTTAATATTTTATAACTTTATATATAATAACTATTATTTTTTATTATTATCATTTTTATTTGATGTAAAAATATATTAATATTAATATTAATAATTATTAAACATTTCCGTGCGTGATTTTTTTTTAAAAGAGAATTGACGAGTATTTTATACATTTATTTCGATATGTCCGAGTAATAAACCCAAAGTAATATGCCTCGCTTGAGCATTAAAGCTAAAATTTGTGTTTTATTTATAAGACTGATTGCTCATTTGAGTTGCAATGTCATTGATGTATATTCTCGTAAAAGTTTCAACGGATAATTTGAGAGACTTCTCCAATAGAAACGAAGAAAAAGACAATTTTAAAGATCACAAATATACTTGCCGCCCATACTATGGGATCCCTCAATCCCATCGAGTATGAGTGGGTGGGTAGGCTTTGGGATCAGTAAAAATCCCACAATCCCCGTACCCCATGCCCCATATTAACCAATCTGATTTTCGTCACACCATTAATATTTTTACGCGTAATATAGAATTATATTTTTTAATGTTCCTTGTGATTCGCTTGTGAAGAATTTTAATTTTTTTTATTATTAAATTACATTTTGATAAACAGGCTGATGGAATAGAAAATTTATCAATTTCTGAAATTAATACAAGTACTGGAAGTTCTAGACAAGGAGGTAAATCTAGAGATCCAGTATGGAATTATTTTAATGCAACAGAAATTCCACATGATTCTTGCCTTTCGGCACAAAGTAAATTTTGCTTCAAGCCATGGAAGTGTGGTAAACCTTCTGACTTGAAAGGGCATTTGACTCTGAAATGCTCATTGGATAATAGAGAAGTAAAATTAAAATACTTTAGATTAATTAAATCAGATGATAATATAGAATCTGCAAATAAAAGGTAGAGAGGAAATATTGGAAATAATATAGATCTTCATTCTTATTTTGACAGTGATAGAATAGATGCACCAAAAATTTCAAGAGCAAACCAAGAAATGGTTTGTTTTTTTTTTGTGTGGAGCTCCTTTTAGTGTTACAGATTCACCTTGCTTCTGTGATTTTACAAAATCTTTATGCAGTGGTTATGAACCTCCAAAACATACCATCGCCTAAGCATCTGTTAGATTTTGAGATTGCCAATATAACCTTAAAGATAGAAAAAGAGGTGTGTGATTCCAAAAATTTGACTTTAGGTAATTAATTTTTAAGTAAAATTTATTTGTGTAATAATAAAAATTATTACAGAATCAACTTTCTTTTTTAATTGTTTTTATGGTTTTATGATAAATGAAAAATTTTTATTAATAAATATATAATACTTTTTGTTAATTCTATTAACGGGACATGGGATGGGATATGGGATTAGGTTGGCGTTAGATGGGGTTGGATGGATTTTAAGGATTTGAGTATAGGCGGCAAGTATAATCACAAAATTCTTTTTCCCCTGTATCAGATAATCCATGGATTAGGTTGTTTCCAAATGCTCTCTTTTGTTGATTTATTATTTAATTTCTTTATATACTTATCAGCAGGATCTTTTATCTTGTTAACAGCAATTCTTATAATGCTTGAATGGAACAACACGCATTTGCAGTTCTGAACTATACCTTCTTGCCTTGGCCGCTATTAAGATTCTCCTTAACTTCCCTAATGCACTTTTGTAATGGTTCCCATTTGTTTTTATGTTTATTCATCCTATAATTATTTCATTAGACAGACTATGTTTTTAGGTTTAATTATATAATTACAAGGAACTCGGTTCTTGCCATTATGTTAATATATCAAATGGTTTATCAAACTTATCAATTGAATTCAAAACAACGAATACTTGAAGGCAGTCAAACACATTGGCCATTAAGTTTATTGAAAACAGTTTACATGGGTAACCATATTTTTAAAAATTTGACTTTACGTCTTAAGCGTCAAAACGGGTCATGAGGGAAGCAGAAAAAACATCATGATCAGCTACCAATGAGGCAGTATCTGATAAAGCAATAAAGCAAGTATAATAGAATTTGATTTTATTTATAAAAATTTTTACACAATAATAGAATCTATAAGACAATTATTTAGCTTATAAAAAAAATTTGATCATTGGAGGGACCGATTATCGAAAATGGAAAGTATATATTTGCAAGAACGAGTTTAAATTATTTTTGGGGTGGGAAATTATTTTCATAACAAAGAAGAAATAGCAACGCAGAAGACCTGTAAGTTTTATAGTACTTGAATGACAATCAATAATACCATATCTTGACATTAGTAAATTAGTAAATTTGCCATTGTTAATTAATTCTACGGGATCGTGCACCTAATCTCAGAATAAATATCTAAAATGTATCGTTGCAAACAAAGAATTTTCTTTATATTCTTTGTGCTATCCACTCCATATTGGAGATTAAATATTTAATTAAATAAATAATAGTTAAATATTAATAAATATACAAATGAATGGATTAATTAAATAATAGTTAAATATTAATAAATATACAAATTAATTAATTAATGATGTTACTCCTAATTACAATTTCTGTTATTGCTCTTTATACTTCCATCTCATCACTATCATCCCAAACAAAATCACCGGGCACTTCACTGGCCTCATGTAATTTAGTTAGACCAGCCAAGTCCTCAAGGTAATTGGGCTCATCAAATGCACGTCGAAGAAATTCAAAACCATTAGCTTTATATTCGTTTATCACTTTATCAGAACAAGCAGTACAACAATCGTATGCCTGACCAACTATTATCATGTTGCTAAAATTTGTAAGGAATCCGCGCATTTGATGCGGAATAATGCTTAATGGTGTTGATCTAGAATTGCTTGCATCATCTTGATTACTACTTGTATCTGCAGGTGCTGCAGCTCTATAGATAAAATCATGGTTAGGTTATTAAGGATTTGGTTATAATTTGTTACTTTATTTTATTAAAATAAATAAATTACCCTTTTTCATGATGAAGTACAGACACCATTAATTCAACAGCCATGGCACTAGCAATAGCTGACAAACCAGGTCGGGTCACAGTGCATTGTTGATCTAGCGTACGATCTTTAAGCGAATCTTTTGGTGAAACAATGTCATTACAATAATAACACCCAAGTTGTTTGACCATTGGCATTTTACTACTACTAGCAGCAACATCAGAAGTTGATTTTTCAGATGTCAATGAATCATCTTTAACGCCATGTCTCATTACAACATAACTATCAAATCCTAAAGCTGCATTTATAACAAGCTTTTATTTACAAATGAAAATATGTGTAAATAAATGCATGAAAAAAAAGAATCGGAAAAAATTTTAATTACCTTACGCATAGTAGCACCTAATAAAGTAGGCAACCATCTTGATTCTCTACTATCCATTAATAAAAATATAACATCATGATTTTCAAACAATTGCACTAATTTCTCAACATCTTTTTTAGTTTGTGACTCTGAAACTATTGGGTGTCCAGGCATTGGAATATTAATATTGTGACCTTCTGAAATCTTTTTTTTTTTTTTAAATTATATTAAAATTTTAGAGAAAAATAATAGTATAATATATGTGTGGGAAATAAACACATACAACGCCAGGATAAATTTTTTTTAGATTTTCAGCAGCAGTTTTAGCTTTTGGTTTTCCGCCATCAAGACAATCTTCAAACGAAAATAATGGTTGCCGAACAGGATTTGAAAAAGAAACACGTGAATTGTCAACAAAAGTTATATGTCGAATACCCCATCCCTTTAATTATTTTTCATGGAATAGCAACGATTAATGAAAATAATAATAATGATGATGATGATAATGATGATAATGATAACAATTCAAGACTAACCAATAAGCATCTGGCAACATAACAACCAAGCGTTCCGGAACCAAGTAATAAACATTTTGTATCGCGAATTTTTTCCAATTGTAAATCAGGTACAATCCTCCATCTCATTAATTTTAAATTAAGATCGACAGATGTATCAGCCAACCTGATATATACAATTAGAAATAATCAAATAAGTCATCTAATGCATAACATAATATATGCGAATTATTGTGACGATAGTTATAATAACCTTTCAGGATCCATTAAAGGAGCTAAATCTGCTATTCGATGACCAAGTTTTCCTTGTGGGTTTTTTTCCCAACCAACAGATTTTGGACATGCATCTAGAAAAAAGTACATTTATTTATTTATTAAGAATTATATTCCTAATGAGCACCTTCATAGTATTATTTGTTATAATTCATTTAATTCATTCACTCACTAATACACAATTAAATACTTAATTACCAAGAATTTTTGCAGTGTCGGGTATTTCAACTGTCAGAATGCGAGTTTGTGAAATATCTTTTTTCCCTGGAACTTCTCTATAACATAAAACCTTTATTTTATTAATATTCCATTGATAGCGTGCTAGAACCAATAAATTACGTAACGGCCATCCAGGGTTTGTTGGTAAACCTGATGGATCAGCAAATCCAATCATCCTCTAAAAGTTATATATTATATATATTCGTTGATACGTATAAAAATATATACATAACATTTTCTAGGTATAATCTATCAGAGATTACCTCATTTTCATCATATTCTTTATAGAAACTATTCCAATCTGATAAACTACCAATTACAATTTCTTTGTTGTCAAGTTTTTTAACAAGGAAAAATCCTACATTTCCAGCATATTGTTGTTGCCTAAAAACATCATAATTATCTCTTAATGATTTAACCTATATATGTGTATATATATATATATATATATATATATATATAGTTATAATTATAATTAATTATAAATAAAATAAAATAAAAATTTTTTTAAATTAAATATAAAACAAACTTGATCAAACTCCCAAACTTGATCAATGCTATCAACTTTTCCATTATTAGAAATAACCCATGGTGGTTCAGTTAATAAAGCAGGAAATCCAAACCAATAGTGATACTTGTATTTTTTTAAATCAGCATAAGTTATAACTAGAAATCTCGTGAGAAGATATGGATTTTTTACTGCTTCACCAGAAATTATATCTTTCCAAATCTAAATATGTATATATATGTATATATGTTCATATTTGTATTGAATTAAAAAAAAACAATAGAATAAAGAAAATTAATTATTTACACACACATTAATATGAAAAATCATACTTGTTCTGCAGTCTCTTTGAACAAAGAATTTTTATCCAATTGTTTAAATTCTTCAATTGTGTTGGTATTTTTTATTATACCAATTGAAGGATAAGAATATGGAGGCAAACTGGTTGCATATATTAAAAAATTATGGAATTATTATTAAAAATCAATCAGTCAATCAATCCATCAATTCTCAAGTATCATTAATACTTTATTTTCTCACCGTGAAAAAGAAAGATATTTTTTATCATCATCTTTGTCTTCATTCAATTCTTCTTCAAAAGCTCCAGTTCCAAGACATAAGCGAGCCGGAATATAAACATTTGATTCAGCGTTATTATTGCTAGAGGTATGTTGAGAAGAAGTTATTCTATGACTTGTTGAATAATATCCCAAGATGGTTTGCGGTGCATCATCTAATTTGTATAAATCAATTTTCCTTGTGGATAAATTATGCCAAAATGTTGCCTCAACTGCTGAAGAAAATGCTACAAATTGTAATAAATGATCATTATCTGAAGACATTCCTGAAAATTTATTTTGTTTATATGTTTATGTTGTCAAATCGTGTCAATTTGTAAATTTATTAAAATTTTGGTGGAAATGTTTAGATGCGAAAATTCCGATTGGCTAATTTGGACTTTACACGTGTCAATTTAATATATATATGGGGGAGGGGAGTGATATTAATAGTACAATGGTAAAATACATGTATTAAAAAAGAATAGAACTCTACAACAAATAATTTTTTTGAGAAAATCTCTCTATTACATTAAAACCAAAGACCTATTCTATCAACTAATAGAGCTGTTTTTTAAAAAGGTAGGATGGAAAGTGACTTCTATACTTGCAAAATTTTAATGAACTTGAAACAAGTGTACCACCAAACTATTGAATCAACTTTAATGCCAATTTAAAAGCGTGACGTTAAAGTTATCTATAAAATCCATACTGGTTTTTTTTTAAATAAAATGTTAAATATTACTTCTAAATAATCGCGAACACAAAAAATCGAATTACTCAACAGATACACAAGATAAATTTTTGTCTCTGAAATTTTAACATAATAATTATACAAAAAAAAAAAAAAAAAGGCAGCCCGTAACTTAAATTCTGAGGATTAATAGATATAAAATTATATGTATCCGTTTTTTCTAGAACTCCGCCAGTTGAAATTCGATTATTTTTGAAAAGAAAAATTTTAATGTAAAGTTTTTTAATTTTTACATGTAATAATTTCGACCCTCTGATATAATTTTTAATAGGCTACTTAACTTTTATGCATTTCTATTATAATGTTGATATAATGTTATTATTTTGAAATTTTGTCCATGTAATTTTAAAATTCTAATAACCTTATAAATAATTATAAATCAGTCCCTTATAATTAAAAGCAAAATTTTCTAACATAACCTTCCAAGTGGTTATAAGCGACTTTGTAGGGAACAAATGTTTCTGCTGAATTTGCTTTAGCTGCATACTAGTTGAGCGATAATCTTAAAATAAGTATGAAGAAAAGAAACACTTCTGACCTGGCTTAGAATAACCAATATTTAAGCTAGCCTTCTCTTTTGATTGTTGTTAAAAAGTCTTAGTCTTGCTCTAAAATTTTTATTATGGTTGAAAATCGCTTGCTATACGAAAAACGGAGATTGAAGTGGACGATAATAATTTTATTCGTGTAACGTTTATATTGAATGTCACTAGATCTGCAATGTCTCACAACTAAATAGTTGTATGCCCCATTTTTTACGTGTTGTGTTTGTTTTTTATCTATCTATAATATGACTCGGTTTTTTTCAGAAGGTTAGTCAATCATATATATTTATCCAGGAAAATATACATATTCCTCTACAGCTACATAATTAATATATATTTATTATAAAGATTATTGTAACCCGTTTAAAAAGCCTTTATTATGTATTCATTGGGTTTCGTCAAATCCACCACTTTCAATAAAAATTACGAATATTTCGGTTAGAAATTTGTTTCTTATTATTTATTAACAATTAACTATCTATATAGATTTTTTTATTTATTTTTAAAAAATAATTACAGAAGCAGCTTAAATCATTAATAAATAGCCAAGAAACCACTAATATTGATACAGATAAACCAATTGAAGAAAGTTCATTTAATATTACTGATAATAATATTACTATTACTAACCAAACAATTTTCCAAGAAAGGTGAATTAAGTTCTTAATAAATCAAACAGTACATATTTATTTATTTATTTAATTTCATTGCTTAAAAAAGTGAAAACATACAACCTATTCGAAAACCAAATTTGTTTGCTGAAGAAATTACAGAACTTGAACAAGATATAATTGAAAAACGGGTAGCATTGCAACAACAACAGGTAAGTTTATATATATATATTTATATACATCTTTTTAATAATTATAAAACAATTTTATTTAAAATAACAGTTTGCAGAATTTGAAAAACGTGAATTTCAACGTAAAGCTAAATTTATCAATTCCAAACTTTGGTTTGCTACAAATGAAGAAATCAAAGAAGCATTAGAAGGCTGTAAAGGTGATGAGGTAAATTAGCTTCAAAAAAATATTATTTTTTATTCATGTTGGTTATATGATATTACTATTGTTTTTAATAAAAATTAAATCATTTATTCTTGTATAATAATAATAGACATTAGTACTTACCAAAATGTACAATAATGAATATCTCAAAAGGCTTCGCAAAAGAATCGCTTATAAGCATAATAATAATAAAGATACTACAGACCATGGTAAAATAAAATAACCTGCATCAATCTATCAATCAATCCATTAAATAAATATTTGATTAATAATAATAATAATAATAATAATAACAACAACAACAACAATAATAATAGTAAAATTATTAGAAGTTCATAAAAGTTTTCGTGAATTATTGAAACAACAAGACTCTCAAAAGGAATCAATAACAGGGTTACAAACTGGTTCTCAAAAATCAATTCAAAAGGATGATGATGACAAAGAAACAACTTTGCAAAGACATCAAAAAACAGCCTCAAAAAGAGCTAGAGGTTCTAGTAGTAACTTTAGTAATAATAGGTAATATATTTTTTTAATGTGGTTTTGAATAGATGAAAAAAGCAATTAATAAATCATAAATATACATGTGTGTATGTGTGTATATATGTAAACTTAAATACACAAAACAGAATGAAAGGCCGTCTTGCATTGGATGATGCATTGAAACAAGTAGAAGACTATGATATGAATCTTGATAAGGCTTTTGAAGGATGGTCAAAAGCTCGTGTTAAAGCTTTTAATGCTATTAAAACCAATCCAAATACATATTATTATCGATTCAATGCACCTGGTGAAGAACAAAGACTAGGTGCATGGACTGAGGTTAAATTCATGATAATAATATAATAAAGATCAATCATAGTATTATTTAATTTTTAAAAAAATATATTTATATAATTTATATAGGAAGAGGAACAAGTATTTTTTAACAGATTGGAGGAAGTTGGTTCTGAAGGTCAATGGGGAATATTTTCAATAGTGATTCCTGGTCGTGTTGGTTATCAAGTAAGTTTATAAAACCTTTTATCAATAGAAAAATATTTATTTATTTATTTATTTAAACTGTTATTATTAATTATTATTATTATTATTAATATTTATTAGTGTTCCAACTTTTATCGATTGTTAATAGAAACTGGGAGAATTAAAGATCCAAATTATGTAATTGACAGAAATGGTAAAGCACATTATTTGTTTAGTACTAGGAATAAGCAAACAGGCGAGACGCAAAAAACAATCAGAACTCATTCCAAATATGGAAATAGTGGTGGATGTAAAACTGTTAGAGGAAATCATTCTGATACTCAGGATAGTCCAAACAGTAGACATGAAAAAACGTTTGTTACAATCAAACCTAAATCATCACATAAAAAACGTAGAAAAAATCCTTTGAACAGTGATGAAGAGGAGGAAGAAGATTGTGATAATGATGATTCTGGTAGTTATGTTTTGAAATCATGGAGTAGTAAAAAAAGAGCAAGATCGTACCAAGTAAATGAAAGAGTTGATTTAGAAGTTGTTGAACAAGACGATGAAAATCCATTGCCAGGTTTTATTGATCCTATTACGTTAGAAGAAGTTAAACGTCCAGCAATCTCTCCTTATGGGCATGTAATGGGGTAGGAAGATTATCTTTAATCAATTCTATGTGTATATTGTGATTTATTTATTTATTAAGAATTAATTAAAAACATTGTTTGTGTTGCTAGTTATGATAACTGGGTAAAATGTCTCTCTACAGGCCCAAATAAAAACATTTGTCCCTTGACCAAAAAACCTCTAAAAAGACGTGAACTTGTTATATTGACCAGCGACAACCTTAATCAATACAGGTTGGTTAATCCATTTGTAGATTTTTAATCGAATCCAGAGTTTTATGTTAAATTTAAAATTCCTCTCCTCTCTTCTTTAGTTCCCAAATCGTCAATCTTAAATAATTTTGCAATATTATAATATCTAATATACGTGATGGATAAACCTAGCAAGTAGTTATCATTTGAAGTAAATAAATAAGTTCTATTAAAACAATGTTTGATGTTTATGATCTAATTATTACTGATGATGATAATAGAGTTGTTGATTTTTTTACCTTAAAAAATAAAATAAGAATATATGATAATCTTGATTATTTTCTAAACAAATAACTTTCATCTATTTTTTTCTATGAATCTTGATAAGATGGTCAAAAGCTCGCGTTAATGCTTTTAACACTATTAAAACCAGTCTAAATACATATTATTATCAATTCAATGCACCCAGTGAAGAACAAAACTAGGTGTATGGACTGAGGTTAAATTCACAATAATAATATAATAAAGATCGATCATAACGTTATTTAATTTTTTAAAAAAATATTTATATAATTTATGTAGGAAGAAGGACAAGTATTTTTAACAGACTGGAAAAAGGTGGTTCTGAAGGTCTATGGGAATCTTTTCAATAACAATTCCTGGTCGTGTTGGTTATCAAGTAAGTTTATAAAATCTTTTATCAATAGAAAATATTTATTTATTATTATTATTATTAATATAACATTTATTAGTATGTTAACTTTTATCAATTGTTAATAGAAACTGGATGAATTAAAGATCCAAATTATGTGATTACAGGCACATTATTTGTTTAGTACTAGGAATAAGAAAACAGGCGAAATGCAAAAAAACAGGAAAAAATCACACTGAAAAAACACTTGTTACAATCAAACTCAAATCATCACATAAAAAAAATACTTTGAACACTGGTGAAGAGAGGAAGAAGAATGTGATAACGATGGTTATGTTTTGAAATTATGTACAATATTATAATATGTACGTGATGGATAAATCCATTAAAACAAATTTTATGTTTATAAATAATTAATAATAACTTTATTTTATAATTCAGTAAATAGTACAAAAAAATTTCTTGTAAAATTTTAAATTTTATATGTTTGTATTTTAAATCTATACAATAGATAATAATAAAGGAAAAAACCGATATAATAATATTGATTTATCATTTTATTATTTTCTAAACAAATAACTTTAACTTTCATCTATTTTTTCCCTTTTTACTATACAATTAATTTCTTCAAATATTATTTTTTATTGTCTCTTCATAGGATTATATATGATAATAATGACTATAATAAATTAAATATGTCCACACATACATTACACACAACATTAACTCATCTTAAGGCATTAATACTTTCAATAATCATTAGAAGAAAGAGCCTCAGATTTCCTGGCCAATATTTTGGATATTATAAGATAAAGAAATACCAATGTTATTATTATCCATTTTCTCCATTTATCAAATAAACTTCTTTGCACAACAATGTTATTATTATTGGTACTAGTATCGCTGCTACCATTACTACTACTATTATTAATCTTATTATTGTTGTTGTTGTTATTATTTTTATTATCATTTGATAGATTTTTATTATTTTCAATGTTTGATCCATCATTTTGGTTTATTTGTTGACGTTTTTGGATTTGGTTATTGTTTTGGGGTAACCTAGATGCTTCATTTATATAGCGAGTACCATTATTAGTACCAGACTTATTATTATTATCATTATTATTACTACTACTGCCACTAGAACTATTGTTATTCAGCGGATAAAGAATCTCAACTGATACTGGTTCTGGGACACAAAGTTCAGGAAATATTTCTATGATTATCAAATAAATAAACAAAAATTTTTTTAATTGCTTTTATTTAAAATAAAAAATCAACTTGCATATTTTTATAAATAATATTATAATTATAATTGTTATCATTACCTCTGAATTTTGGATCCTTCATATTAAATTGATGTGACCTTGAAGCAAATATTCTTTTATCAGTATCTGACGTTTTAATACTACCTGTTGTGGCTTCATCGCCAGTCTACAAAAGATATTTAAATTGATTAATATATTTATTATAGTAATAAATAAAAGGAAAATAACAATATTATTATTATTTGTATAACCATAAAGCTTAACAATCCATTTAAAATGGTTGCAACACTCCAACTAGGATTCCAAGAACTTGGATGAAAATCTGACATTGACAAACACAGCCTTGTATTAGGATGAAACCTTCCTAACAACAACAACAACAACAATAAAGTTGTTTTTTTGTTGTTAATATTAAAAATAGTCTACAAAGTAATAATAAAATACTTATTATTTACCAGAAGGTGTTATCATGCGAATCGAGGGTGGTTTAAAAGGGTAGTCAACTGGAAACTGTAAATAACCTATTTTATATAAAAATATAAATGAATAATTTATAGTTTATAACTTATAATTTATAATTAAATCTGTTTATGCATACCATGATATTCTCCATTGTGATAAGGTGTATCTGGTGGTCCACGAATAACATAATGCCTATTTTTTATTTTCATTTCAAAAAAAAATATATTAAGTAAATCAACACAAAAAAAAAGTTTCTTGAAGATTAAGTAAAATTTACCATTCCAAAATGTTATTTTCTAACGGTTTGGCTATTAAGTATGGTGCTGGATTCTTTTAAATTTTATTAAGTTAAAAAAAAATATAAGACCCATTTATAATACAATTGAATATAGATGAACATAAATGTCATAGCTTTTTCACCACTCATACATTTTGGATGGCTATATATTCTTTAGTTAATCTTTTGTATGCAGCCTTAGTTGCCATTTTTATGATGCTAGCGCTGGTAGAAAATTTTTAACGAGTTTTGAAATTCAAAAGCCACAATATTTATGCAACAAATAATCGTGTAACTTGGTGTATTCTATTTTTAACATAATAATATGATTTTTTTTTGATGGCTCAATAAAACTTTCTCTCTTGTTTCTCTTCCTGGTGGAGCATCTTACAATCAATCGGAAATATTCGTTTTTTAGGTGTATATATATAAATGACTGTATTTGGGTTACTATTACTATTATTCCTTCAATTAGTGGTTATTATTAATATTAATATTAATATATATCAATTACAATTTAATAAAATTTGTTAGAAGGCTGAAAACATATAGTTTTATTCAATAAGAAATTATTTCAATTATAAGTGCACATCTGTTTTTCATTGAAGAAATAAAATTACATTCCACTTTTCTATCATAAATTGTTGCAACTCGGCCAAATTATTTGGCATTTGTAATTCTGTGTTCCTTTTTTTGACAATACAGTGCGGATCATCTATACTCAAAAGTTAAAAATTTTTGAAATTTTATGTGATTCACATGTTGATTTTAAAAAACCTGCCACCATTCAATTCAGCTTTAAAAAGGGAGTTAATTCATGTAAAAAAAATTTTGTCTTTAAATTTGAGTTATGCAATAATAATTTTCGTGTTACAATATTTTGAATCTCATGACCAAATTTAGTAATGATTTTCATTTGATAACGGCCTTTTACTATAACGAACTGGGAATTTTTTACTATATAAAAATTCCACTATATAACGATCATAACGATCTTTTTAATTAAATTTCCTATAGTGTATATATAACGGCCTGTCCCTGAAATTCACTTATATGTTTTACATGGAGCATAGCATAGCAGAAATTCGATTATATCAGAAATGTGATGATCATTTGTGATATATGCAAATTTATATTGTGCTACAATTAATTCCAATTATTTTAAAGTACTTGAGTTATGTTAAAATGCACAAAAGTAGTTAATAGGTAACATGACTTTTTAAGCAATATTGCAAAAAAAATTATACAATTATTATCTTTAATATATGCTTTTTCATTTAAAAAAATAAGATGCAATTAGATGCAATTCAATGAATAGGTTACATATGGGGTAAAATTTACATTTTTTTAACAAAGTGCTTTGTATACAAAGGTAAAAAAAATTATTATTATTATATAAAATAAATAATTGAGTAAAACATATAATAATACATGTTGGATAGAATGATAAGTTAAATAATAATATGAATCAGATATAAAATGAAATAAACAATAATATAATTTACTATTTATATAATAATATATTTTACCATTCATTTACTAATTTTTTTATTTAAATCAATGTCCAAATTTATTTCAGGCATGACTATATCTTCTTCTTGATCTTCTTCGTAACTCTCTTCTTCAATTAAGGTTTCTGGCTGAAACTGCTTCTATTAGTAGCCGAAATTGCCCAAATACTTTAGGCAAAAATTATTTTTTTACAAGTCCAAACTACTTTTTGTTATTAGCCAAAATTGGGCAAAATTATTTTAAAGCTGTTTAAGTTAAAACAAGTTGATTCATATAGTTTTTTAATGTTAATGCTTATAAAAAATGTTGAGAAGCCCAAATTGCCCAAACTAGTTTGGGCTTTGAGAAAACAGTTTGGAACAGAAACCTTATTTTCAATGTCCTCACTTGTTAAAATGTCATCACCTTCATTTAATCTTTCAAGGAATGAGTCAACATTTTTGAATATCCCTTTTTTGTAATATTCTTCACAATGTTTGCACACATTTTTCCAACTTTGATAACATTCATAATGATATCCATGACCACATATCAATACATTTACATTTAGGTTTCCTAAAGCTTGTTTACATTTATCACACAAATTAGGCTTTGGTGTAAAAGATATATGGTAGCCTTTTGGAAATAATCTTATATAATGGTTTTATTTAGAGCAACCAATTTGTAAGTTTTAAAATTTTTTTTGGGTTGTCTATCTTTATCTTTATTTTTTTCAAGGTTTAAATAAATCAAGTGGAAATGATCTAATAAAAATATACTGTTCTATTTGTTAATTCATCCAGGACTGGCTCAGTATATGGATACTTATGATAGTGTTCCATGTCGCAATCCAAAAAAGGAAACAAAATGGTCGTAAAGGTGGTTGCAACCAGCGGTTGCAATCATTTTTATATGACACAAAGATGGTAGCAACCATCATCAAAAGTTGCAGCCGGTATCCTTAACTTATGATAATTTTTAAATGAGTTGATTGTTATTTGATCATGAAGATCAAAAACATAAGCTTCATTAATTATAGCTTCTGCTGAATCTAAGGAGGTTGTGTTGGCTCTTATCTGGCTATGTATGTTTTCAATATAATAATCATTAAAATTTACAAGATATTTTTCAATTGATTCACTAAATGGATGAGAATTCTCTTTCCAATAAAAATAGTCCAATAAGAAGGCTAAAGGTGCTTTATTATAATTTTTCTTTTCCATCTTAAAGCAAAGGTCCAAATTTGAAAGAGTGTTTCTAAATATTCATTAAATGAACCTGATCTGAACAGAACAGCATAATCATCCAATGTAGAAGGAATAATACTATCTAACAGGTCTATCATCATCCTGTATTCTATATCCTTACAGTTGTTGGGGAGCTTATTTAATATTACATGTGATATTTTTTTCCATCCTCTGTTTGAAAGATCTAACAAAAAGTTTATTCTCCAAGGTTGAGGCTTTTCAGCCAAAACTTTTTTTGGTCCAAAAAGAGAATGGTACATCTTATTGAAAAGCTCCCAGCAAACTAAAATTACTTGCTCCCTTGAATTTAATGAAACATGTAAAGGGCCAATTAAGGATATAAAATTTCTAATAATATTATTATTAGAATTTTGATTTCTGATATTGGTTATGGCTTTTCTAATAAATAATTGACCAGGCCAATCAGCTGAAACAGGTATGACATTATTTATTAAATATCTAGAAATACTTTCTATTCTACTTATTGATAACAGAACATCCACATAGTCATCTAATGAATGTAGATTTTTCTGTTGGAATTGAACTATTCTTGTTTCACTCATGGATCTGTCTTGTTTCCTTTCAGCAATTAAAGGATTATAGAAATGAATAGAAAGTAATTCAGTTCTATTGGACTCTAATGATTATTGTAAGCTTGAAAAGGTCCACCTTATTTTTCTATCATTATAACTTTGATCAAATACTCTCTTGAAATTATTCATTAATTGAAAATTTATTCTATAAGCTTCAATATTGCTGGGATTGAATATGGATATTGTGAGATCAAAATTCCACGTCTCACACAAATCTCTTGATTTCGTTAAAATAGTATTTTTTTCGTTCATAAGGTATTGTCCAATTATGTTATTTAGTTATACAATACGCTTTTGGTATTGTGTGCCGCCAAGTATCCGTCTTGATACTTATGT